GGACCAACCAAGTTCTGCTAAGGATCAAACACAGCAATAAACTTCTGCACTCACCAACTCCAGTGTTAAATAGGTTGTTCAGATCACAAACAGTTGTAAAGGAAGGAAGGTGAGAAAAAAGTAAGGATTAAGTGGAAAAGTAAGGATATAATTTTAAATTTGTAGCAGGGCAGTGAAAGAAATAAAGGCTATACATGGCGTCCTAAAAATCCCTGCAGGCTGAACTGCTGGGAGGATCAGTGTGTAGGACAGAAAGGAATCAAACTGGAAATGAAGTTGTGGCCACTGCACACATATTTACAGAGAAGAGCCTATCTGGTATAAGTTGCTAACTACTTCGGATTAGATTCTCTTCACTACAATTTCACTTATTTTAATCATTTGATATACAAATTTCAGCATTGTACCAGCTTCAAAGTGTAATGTCATGTCAGTAAGAAAAGGCTTTTTTTTTCCCCAAAAATTGTCATGGTAGATCCTACCAGAATAAAAAGAAATCCAATGACCATTCATTAGTCCACATACTTTGGATGAGGAACTCAGCACATCTGATTTGATTCAAACCTATTCAAATCCTTTACAGAATGAAAACTATGTGTGCTCTAGGAGAAGCAGAGAGTTTTTACAGAAAACACTCCTGAGATGCCACTCATACAAAGCACGCACCAAAATAAAGTCAGTAGAACTTCCCATTAGGTACCCACCCAGGCAACAGTTCTGGAAACCTGAAGATTTCACCAATTTTGTTCTCTGACTGTTAAATTTATCTGGATCCAGACTGTACGGAAAAGGAAGATGCAGAGGAGACATGAGCTGTAAAAAGCTTCTCTTAAAAAGAGTACACTGGCTCAAGCTTTTCAGAAAGGGATGAAGAGGTATGGTGATGAGCCAAAGTGATACTTGGTAGTTGGGAAGACATAAAGAAGCAGCAAAACTTAACTACAGAGCCTCTAATATCTTTGCTCTGCCATAAATTATTTGCAAGTTGAAAATTCCATGATCTGCAGAGGGGCTATTTTGAACTAAGAACAAGTTACATTATGAAAGAGATGAAGGGGAAGGAAGGCAAAATGGAATTCAAGAAAAAAAAAACAAAAACAAAAACTGAAGTCGTAAGATGAAAAGAAAGAATAATCTGAACAAAGAGTAAAATGGGATATAACTTACCAGAGGGTCTGGCAATGGGTGGGAGAATCTGAAAAATGACACTGCAAAAAGAAAGCAATGATTACTAGGCTACGAGTTTGAGATGAAGATTGCTGGTGACTAACATCTGTGGGGACTGGAATGAGAAACCTGAAGGCAGCACTTTTTGGTTGGAAGGTTGAGGAGGATGAAAAGCTTGAATTAGAAGAAGGCATGAAAAATGTATGTTGAGATCTACAATTTTTGCTCTTCCTCTGTTGACAAACAGTTGTGGAATAACCACTACATCTCACATACCCATTCACATAAACAAGTGTGCTGAAAACCTACGCTGGTATCCAAATTGTCACATGACAGTCTATTTTTCTTCTCTAAGAAGAACGGATTCCACACACTACATCTAAATATGTGGAAAAGTTAAGCTTAATCAGACAAGCACTGGGAAAACACAACAGTAAATCCAGAATTGAGAAAGTCAGTACTTTAATCTCTCCTTGTATAGCATGCACATTATAACAGCGTTATATCATTACAAGCAGTTTTTTCCATTTGGAAATTTTTCCCACTTTAATGTTACAGTGTTAGTAATGTATGTTTAAGCACAGGAAATGCTACTACAGGACTATTTTTCCTATGAAGTTTAGAAAATGTATAATCAAACAATGAAATTGATGGTGGAAAATGAAAAAAATCAAAGCTGCATTGCTGTCAAAGTGTTAAGAAAATCAGATTCCTTTGTACCCAGAAAAAGCTTGAAGCCCCAAGAGAAGAAAATAGGAGAACACTTCTGTTCCTACTGACCTCAAGAGATTAAGGACCAGGCTGTACCCCTGTGCAGGCACAACTTCCATTACTTTCAGCTGAAACAACATGAAACTTAAGGAAGAACTGCATCTTGTGCATAGGCAAGCCATTACATTAGAAGCACATGCAGTATATAGAATCATCAGTGCATTCTGCAAGTACCTAACAATGTTGTACAAACTGAAACACCTATGGTCTCTGCCTTGAAAACCTGACTATCCTGAATACTGAGAAACAGTGATGGAGGCAGTCTGCAATCAAAGTTTGGCTATTCTGTTTAGAGCCAGACTGTTTTACTTTAAATTGCCTTTTGCTGAAGGTTAGAAATTAATCTCTGCTGTAGCATGACTTGTTTTCTTTTTAATTTGTAAGATTGTAAGAGTTAAAGTAATTCAAGCAGAATTTACACAAACAGTTATTCTCTCAAATAGTTTGAAAAATATTGTAGATATATATATCACTATTTGGTAACACACTTTATTGGTGATTACTTCCTCTACACTGATAATGTTTCTTTTAATTCATTTCTACTTACTTGCCAAGACCACTGCTGAAAATACTAATTAAAGTACTAATTAAAACACAAGAATGCTCTTTTTGAAGTGTTACCATCAACTTTTCTTTAAAATTTCATCTTGCCTTAACCGACAACTTTTTGCCACCCCAAGAGTAAGGCACCACAACTGATTTATAAAACTGTCTTCTGACTTTATATCCTACTTTTTTTAATGCATTTAGACATTTACTCCTCTGACTTGAACACACTCTTCTGATTTTATTTTCATAGTGAAAACAGTAACATACACTTTTATACACTCATTCCCTTCGCTCCACCCACCCTTTGTTTCAGCTGCAATTATCAAGAAAGCAAAATGCTCCATTTGAGGGGCAAAGCCTAGGTTTCTCACCCCATCCTCAGTGAAAAAGAACTCAACTTCTTTATTTCAGGATTTCTTTCTTTCTTTTTTTTAAACAACCAATTAACATTTTGCTATTTATTTCAGAAATTATTTTAACAATCTAATTCAATTTGAATGCTGGCAAATCTCACATTTTCCTTGCTATTGCTAACCCTTAAGCCACAAATTTCTCTTCACTTGTTGGTTGAAAACCCACTACTAACATCTTGTTTAAAGTCATCCCCTTTGCAGTTGTTTGGAATTATTCCTTATCATTGTTCTCCCCAAATAATAATAAATAAATCAATCCAATCTCTGCCCACATTGAGCTCCTAAACTAATTTCTTCTTCACTTTCCTGCAGACTATCCTTCTACAGTTGAAATGCTTAGTTTCTGACCATTTAAGGATTTGTGTTTTCATTTATTTTGAGTCCATATCAGTAAATCTAATGTTATAATAACATTAGTACATCTAATATTATACTCTCTTAGCAGAAGCTCTCTGAATATTGCTAATAGATGGACACCAACATACTTTTTCAGTAACTTAAATTCTGTAGGCGTTTGCTCTATATGCTTCTGCTTTTCTTGTAACAGTGTAGAAAAGTATTAACGTCCTTGGGCCAAGAGCACTGAAACTTGACTCTGTGATGCAGTGAAACCAGAGAAATAGTGATCCTGGAACATCAATCATTTAGGGAATTAGCTGCTGAATCCAGCAGCCCAACAGAAGCAACGCTGCCATGTCTCCACGTTCTGAGGTTCAGCCAGTAGCAAGTATGAGCACGTACTCCAAACTGGCAAAACCAAACGCTTTGTATGTATACACAACTAACTATAAATACACACGTGGCCAGTCTCATAGATAACAGAGACACAAACACTCATGCAAAGATAGATAGCACAAACAGTGTAATCCTGTCCTGCTCTCTGGTTCCAAACACCCAACAACAAACCTCGTACAACCCCAAATACTCTTCCTATGATGCATCCCATAACACACCCTACCCCCTCCCGGCAATAAACCCACCAGCCTGTGAGGTGACCCAGAGAGCTTCTGGCTCGCCTGTGGGACTGGGCATTCCCCCTGGGACAGCCCTGCCTGCCCACGTGCCCTTGGGCTCCTCTGCACGCCTGATGAGCTTAATCACACAACCCAACAAACTGTAAACAGAGATTAAGCATCGGTGTTGATATGCAGCCAGCTCAGCACGCTTAGATCTGCCACGGCAATCAATGTAATAGTAAGGCAGGGAGTAAACAGGAGCAGCTCTAAATTAGTGCAACTGTGCAACTGCACAGGCACAGGGAATCAAATTAAAGATAATGGCACGCTTTGAAGCCTTTCCATAACCGTGATAAAAACAGACACAAGGAATTTCCAAAGGGGAACTCAGGCTCTTAGTTCTTCTGTTTCACCTGAGAGACAGAACTGAACGTCCTTACCTTAGCAGGGCTCTTCTCCCCCTCCCTGCTTTCCTCTGCCATTACAGAGGACCTTCCCAGCAGCCCCAGGCTGCTGAATAACTTTCAGGAGCTCTGCTCCCGCTTCAGACTTCAGACCACCACGAAACCTGCGGCGTTCCCAACTCGTCCCAACCTCCCGCTCCACAGAACTAAGTGCCCTGGGGCCGCTTGTGCTCACAGCGTCGCGTTCCTGGGAGCTGTTCCATCGCAACGTCTCCACGTTGGCTCTGCTTAGGGAACACGAAGAGCTGTGGGGCGGGGGTGACTCGGCCACATGCCCAACCCAGGCTGCCCGCTATTATTTGTGCAACAACACAGCTGCACTCATCCTGTACGGGGGAGAGGGCTGTGACAGGAATCCGGCTTTCCTCACCAACGGGTCGGTCACCCAGCACACGCACAGCGCTCTATAAATAACAAAAATAGCCTCGCTGCCCACTGGCGGCTCTTAAAAATATCAGGACGCCCCTGCTAGGAAACCGCGCGTCGTGGTGACCTTGACGCACCGCCCTTCTTCCTCCCGCAGCCAGAGAGCGGGAGCCCCCAACATCAGCCCTCCGTTCCACACAGCCTCATTTGGGGGCACAGCCGCGCGGCGCCTGCGCGCCCCGAGGCGGCGGGAGGAGCGGGGGGAGCCGGGCGCCCACACACAGGCACAAATTACAACGGGATTTCCTTCCGAACGGACGCACGAGCGCATAGCAACGTTCTCCCCGCGGGAGGCCGCCCCTCGGCTCCGGGACCTCGCGTTTCGCTGGTACGGAGCGGGAGCGCCCCGCAGCGCGTCGAGGGACTCCCGCGAGGGGCGGGCGGGAGCGGTGCGGAGCGGCCCATCGCGCGCCGGGCCCAGGTGGGACCCCCGAGCGCATCCCGTCGTCGGCTTGGGGGACGGGCCGCCCTCCCGCGCGCCGCCGGGCATCGCGGAGCTCGCAGCACTGCGGCAGCGCCGGCCCTCGGGTGGGAGGCAGCGGGAGGGACCCGCGGGGCGCGGGCGGTGTAACTGGGGGGGGCGGCCTCCCCCTCCGCGGCGGGAGCGGAGTGCGGCGGCCCGGGGAGGGGGCGGGGAAGATGACTTCATGCCGCCGGAGCGCCGTGAATTTAGGAGCGGCAGCTGCCGGCGCGATGTGGGGGTGAAGCGTTCGTGGGAGCTGCTGCCGGTTGAGGGAGACGCAGAGTCGGGCACGGTGCCGACGGGCCCGCGGCTCCGGGAGGGGAAGAAGGGCGGGAGGGAGGAAGGAAGGAAGATGCGCTGAGCCGGCCGCTGGGAAGGTGAGAGGGGACTGCCGGCGCGGGGGCGAGCGCTGCACGGTAGAGAGGCCGCGGTTCGGCACCCGGGCTGCTCCGAGCGCTCGCCTGTGGGAAAAGCCTCCGCTCCTACGGCAGCAGGGCCGTCCGACGGAGCGCTACAGCGCTGCGTTTTATCTTTTGCCGCCGGGACGTGGCTCGGTGCCAGCTCCCTGCCCGCCGCTCGCTCTGCCCTTCGCGCTGCGCGAAAGGCCGTGGGGCTGCGACAGGTGCAGGGCCGCGCTGCGGGCTCGGCGGCGCTCCGCAAGTGGAGGGGAGACGTGTTGGGGGCAGGAAGGCTGCAGGGTCCATCGTGTCATTGGGCTGCCTGGTTTTGGAGGTCGCTTTACAGGATACTGAAAGGGCCTGGGAGCTGGAGACCCAGACCTTATAGCGAGAAGGTTTATATAGGGTCTTCGGGGGCCTCTGTGCTCTCTGTTTTTCAGTTTCCATCAGCTAGTGTGTGGTTTGAAACAGAAATACCGGTGATACGTAAATGGTATTGTTTAGTAAATAGAAGAAACAACGGGTTGCTTCGCCATGGTGAGGCCTTACCTCGAGTACTGTGTTGCTGTGGGCACCTCAGTACAGAAAGGACATTGAGGTGCTGGAGCAGGTCCAAAGAAGGGCATCACGGCTTGTGAAGAGCTTGGAGAATGCGCCCTACAAGGAGTGACTGAGGGAACTGGGGCTGTTTAGTCTGGGAAAAAGGAGGCTCTTATTGCTCTCTTCCAATATCTGAAAGGTGCTTACAGCAAAAGCGGGGTTTGTCTCTTTTCACTGGTGACAGGTGAAAGGACGAGGGGAAACAGCCTGAAGTTGCATCAGGGTAAGTTTAGCTTGGATATCAGGAGGTACTTCTTTACAGAAAGGGCTGTTAAGCACTGGAGTAGGCTGGAGGTTGAATCACCATCCCTGGATGTGTTTAAAAACTGTTTGGATGTGGTGCTCGGGGGTATGATGGAGGGTTGTTAAAGCTGGGGTAGTATGGTCAGGTTGCAGTTGGACTCAATGATTTTTAAGGTCTTTTCCAACCTAAGTGATTCTATGATTCTAAGTGAAAAAATGAGAACACTTTAAACCATGTAGCTCAGTCAATTGACTTGCACCCTCCTTGTGGAGTGTACACAGCAGTATGTTAAATGAGCACTCCTTCAGAGCAGAGCAGGAATGGAACAGCACTTGCTTGGCCTGAATCTGTTCAGCATTTTTGTTGTGTTATTTTTCTTTTCTTTCTTCTGCTCTGTAAAAGGTTGCTCCGAAGATGGCATGTCAGTATAGGAGGCTGGGGATGGCATGCGTAGGTAGATCATTAGAGTGAGCTCTGTCTGCATGGAGCAGTGGTTAAATAATGGCTGGCTCTGCATGCTTCAGTTTGGAGCTGAAAATAGTGATTGTGCTTGTAGTGAGGGAAGGGTAAGGGTTTTTTTATTTTTCCTTACTGAAAAGTGGAAATGAGATACTAGAACCTGAATGTTATTTTATTGGGTATCTATTTACTTACACGCTTGTTGTAAAGGATACCATTATCCTGTGTGCTTATTGAGCAAGCTCGTGTAATTGCAGTTGTGGTTCCTTGGTTGTGGCTGAAGGCCCTGGGCATGGTGCTGATGATAAAAATAATACGTAAGGAGGTAACTGGCAGTTGCTTGATCTGTTGCCATTATTTCTGGGAAGATGTTTAAATACATCTGTTTGTCTCAGTACTGTTGCTGGGTAGGCAGAAGGCTGATGATTACAGAGACAGGAAATGCATATAAAAGACAATTGGGGCTTCACAAGGAAGAAACACAAGGAAGAAACAAAGAGTGACTGGTGAACTGCAGTGTCAGAAAATTAGTTCAACAGATGGATTTTTTGTCTGTAGACCAGTCATTAAGTATGGCCCATGCAAGTTATTCTAGCCATTAACTATGGCCTTATATAAACCCTATTTAAGCACTCTGTGGTGTATCCAATGTATACCTTTCAAACCAGGGAAAGTGATGTCCAGTTCCATCAAATGTGTATCTGTTACCTACCAAGCACTTAAATTTTTTCTTATAAAACAGTTGGGAGCCTGCATTATCATGCATCTGTTGTTGTTTTTGTTTTGGTTTGTTTGGGTTTTTTTGTTTGTTTGTTTTCTGGCTAGGGAAAGAGTATGATTGTGTGTCTCAGCAATTGCACTATAGCAGTCGTTGGTTGATTTCTCCTGTAATTGCCTCTGGCTGGATGAGAAAGAATGTATGAGAAAGAAATTGTATGAGTTCAGATACATGTCATGTTAGTCCACCCATTCCATACTGAGCCCATTCCTTTCTTGAAGAAAACGTCAAGTAATGGTTTCCCATTCTGTTGCTGTAAATGTAGAGTAGTATGAGTTCTTGCTAATGTTGACAAAACATTAGCAGAGTAAGTATAGCTATTTGTGCTTCCTGGCAAATGTAAATAATGATTCAAAAGAATGTTGATGCTTTCTAAAATAATGTGGAGGCAGGGAGGACGGAATGGTTGATCAAGAGTCGTTACCATAGAACATCTGGTTGGTTTAACACTGAAAACTTGAATTGCTTCTGTTTTTATCTTATGTGTACACTGAAGACAGATGGTGTAATCATGCCAAATGGAAGGGTGCATGTGTCCATAGACAGGGGAAAAAGTTTGTGTATAATGATCAGTGTCAATTTAGTTAATTTAGTTGAACGCTGTCGCTGATGTAAATTCATTTCTCTTTCTGAGCTCCTCTTCCACCTTCTGTTACAATAACTTCCATCCCTCTGCCAAGCAAAGAAAACAATCTGTGTTGCAGTTAATCTGGGGCAGGAACCCTGCTGCCTGGCAGAACAGTCCAGTTGGCCAGCTGGTTGGTGCTGGGCAGACTGAGTAGCAGCTGAGAATTAGTTGCCTTTCTCTCTGAGGGTCTGCTAGTTTAAATTTCTTCATCTAGATTAGTTCTGTGAAATTATAGGAGTTCAATTATCTTTCAGATTTCTAAGCCACAGCCAGGCCTCTGAACCAGCGTGTTCATTTAACCGAATTTATGGGCAGGGGTCAGGCAAATAGATTTGCATGAAGCTTGTTTCCTTAGGAGAACAATGTGGAAAACCCAGTAACCCTGAATGCAATTGAAAGAACAAGTTTGATTTTCTTGTGATCCTTTGCGAGGCTGAAATGAAACAGTTCAGCTAATAAATTTGTCTTAATGGGAGAATGTCTGAAGGTGATGTTTCTAAACGCTGTTTGAACCAACCCAAATAACAGCCTTCCTTCCAGAGTAATGTTGTTATTAGGCTTGGAGTTGGCGCATTTTCCCCAAACTAAGAATTCCTTACGGACTAGGATAAAAAGAGACTGCAATAGAATGTGAGAAGGCAGGTATCTTATTTACACTGACATGCATACACTTGACATAAGCAAACAGAATTTTAGCAGTAGTTTCCATAACAAAAAAAGTTTAAATGCTTTCAAATCATATGATGCCCTTTATGTAACTGGCACTTCTAGGTGAGGAAAAACTTTCACTTTAGAACTAAATGCCAGCCATCAACTTATATTTCATCTCTTACTACCCAGGTGAACCTTCTGTTGGACACTTTAATTGTGGTCAGAACAAAATCTTTAGTCAGTCAAGTGCAGAACTAACAACTGTTAGAAGTAAGTTTTATTCATCCCTAATCTGAAGGCTGCTCCAAAAGTAATGCCTTTTGTTTTACTGTGTTGGCCGTGTCATCAGAGGCAGCTCAGTAGAGGCTGAACCTTTCCTCCCGTTACTCTTTGTTGCTGCAAGACAGATGGCAGCAGAGGGGCGGTCTGACACAGTGGCATCTGTCATGAAAATGAGTGTGAAACAAAGGGCTGTAATTAAAGTCCTCCATGTACAAAAAATTGCAACCACTGACATTCGTTAACACTTGCTGAATGTTTATGGAGACCAAACAGCGGGTGTGAGTGCAGTGAGGTGGTGGGTGGTGTGTTTCAGCAGTGGTGACAGCAGCGTGAAAGGCAAACCATGTTCTGGATGGCCATGCAGATCTTTGCATAGCTAATGGTGATGGCTGTGCTGAAAAGCAGTGTTTTGTAGCTGAGATTTTTTTCTATCCAAATAGCATTATTGTGCTCTTTGTATCTGTTGTGGTTTCCATGGAAATAAATAGGAGATATTACTTTCATGGCAACCTATGCATATCAGCAGTGGAAAAAAGACAGGCTTTAAATACTTTCGTGTATACACTTAATGTAATAATACATGGGCACTTCACAGCCCAGACTCTAAGGACACAGATTTAGTATCTGAAGCATAGAGATACAAGAACAGAGTTCGTGTATGCTTTTGGGGAAGGCAATTTGGTTGAAGTTTCTCTCTCGAAGAGAGACAACACAAGCATGCATTTGTTCATATTAATTTCATGATGCATTGAGAGACTAGTGTCAAGAAAGTCTTCTGGTTTATACTGTTACAGAATTACTCTATTTTCTAAGCATTATTAACAT